CGTGTGTGTAAGCAAAATTTCCCAGTACAAATAGTACATTCAGTGGCAGACTGTGAAGTAAGACTTTTGCAATACAGTTCTGGTATTCCAGAATCTTGTTCTCAAAGAATAGTTGAATTAAAGGAAACATTGTGGACACCATTAGGAGATAACGTTTGGTTGTATGTAGCGCCATATGCCGAACACATGACAATTATTTGTCCAGACCACGATCCTGTGGATGTAACCATTAACGGGTTAGGTAAATTTACATTTTTGAAACCGTGTTCGGGTTATGGACACCAAGTTTTAATTCAAGCACATGCTAGTCGAGAAGTGAATCTCACTAGTAAAGACGTAATCCCACCTATAACTTTGGAATATGACTGTTGTGAGAAGTCAGGAAAGAAACTAAAATTAGATAACATTAATTTAGATACACCAATCAAAACCATTATAACCCATACAGATGAGCTAAAACTGTCAAGCTACAAAATATCAGAAGTAGAAGCAATGATTGAAGAACAGCAATGGAAGTTGGAACATTCAGAGAAAACAAGATCTTTATCATTTTTCACCTATGTGGGAATGTGTGTAATTGGAGTAATTGTATGTATTTTGATGTATGTATGTTGTTGTAGGTGTTGTAAGTGCGGATGGCCAAAGATTAAGAAGTGGTTTGATGGAGAGGGGCCTTGCCACACTATATTGTTTAAACCCAAGATAGTTACGAAAATTCACACCTCAAATGAGAGTCTGTCTGTACCTTCAGGTCGGTTGACCGTGACTAGAAGTCAGGACGCCATAGAAGAAACGGAATTAATAACCATTTTATCCAATCCTACACCTTCTACACCTCAAGCTAGGAGGGTAGCAAGCAAAGTATTGGCGACCGATAAACGTTAGAGAGAAAAAAAAAATTTAATGATCATAGATGGACTGTCCTTAATTTTTTTTTATTAGAAAAGGGGGAGGTGTTGTATACCTATAAGCTAATTACGGATAATCACATATATCACATATATGATTAATTATAAAGTATAATCAGTAGGTTACTAGATAAAGTGTAATAGTTATATTGTAGACAGCCAGAATTTCCATTTCCAGCTGTTGTAAGCAGGGGCGACAGAAAGCCATTATGGTGTCTGCTCCAGATAAGTTTATTGAAAAGGGTTCCAATTTGTCACAGATAGAGGAGGCCTGCCGAGGTCAAGACGCCTGAACTTTGACAGGGCAAAGGGTCGCGGTTCCCGGGGGTTATCGTGTCCTCTAATTGGATCCAGAACCACGCTTTGGGACGACACGTTACAGTTTGTTGCACCAGCTGGCATGTAAAAAACTGTCACTGACGTCACAAGAGCGATATCGAGATTTCTTTATAACCCGTGCATTTCGAAAACACATCGGACATTTCATTTTACTCGTCAGGAGGAAACTCTGCTGATCTACGCATTTATACATAGCCAACTTTCTTTGTATTCATCTGACTTATTAAATAAATCATCAATCGTCGAACGTCTTCTCGTCAGACTAGGCAGTCACCTTTTAAGCTGTGTATTAAACCTACCATCGCCTACCATCATTCCTAGCCGCTCGGGAATATTGGAATCCTGCGGGACTGGCCGATCCCCCGGGATACAACA